CTGGGTTCCTCTTCTGCTTCTAGTGGGGGACCTAGAGGAGCCATCACTTTCACCCATCACCTCTGCTCCAGGGAGGAGACGCCAGGCGAGGATGGGAGACTCTGGTGAGCCCTCCAAGGACAGAGACAGGCTTTTCCACTTCTGCACCCAGTGCCTGGTGCACAATGGGTCTGCACAATGGGTCTGCCCAGGCAGACACTTGTGGGATTGCAGGAATAAGGAGATGGCTTTTTCTTGTAGAGGAGGGTTCAGCCTCTTCAAACATTAGCACAGCACCTGGCACATGGTCAGCGTTCTGTATTTGCTAGTGTTGTTGTTCATGATGATGCATAGGTGGGGACCTGGGCAGGTCGGCAGGGTCAGGTTTGAGCTGGGGGTGCAGGGTGTGGGGGAGAGGACTTGGTGCGAAATGCAGTGAAAGCCAGCTGCATTTCACCCCTGCAGTTGGAAGAGAAGTATTATCTTTACCGCCTGTATCGGCTCAGCTCCTTTTCTGAGGCCACTTGGAGGCTTCCCATACTCAAGGCGGCCAGCCTGGCTCCCTGGCGTTTGGGCCTTACCACCAATGTGCTGCGTGATGCTGGGTAACCCACCCCCTCTGAAGTAACCTCCCCATCGGTAGCCCTGGCATGTCACAGAGGTCAACCGTTTTCCTAGTCCAAGCCTCACCGGGGGCTCCTGCCCGAGCCCCTCCACAGGCAGACAGGTTTGGGCTCCCATGGTTGGTGACAATCCAAGATGCAAAGGCAAAGCCCCCAGTCCCAGCCCTGGAAACCCATCCTCCCTGAGACAGGGCCAGAGCTAAACTCAGGGGACAGCCCTGAACCTTTCACCCTTGGTGGGGCCAGCAGAGGAATTTACATTCTTTTCAAAACCATCATGTAAATGGTTTCTTGACAAAAACCATTCATTCAGTGAATGAATGAATGAATGAATGAATGAATGAATGAATACCAGAAACAATGCAGAATCCTGGCCAAAGTAGGGTCTTTTGCTTCATTTGATTAAAATCTGACCCCAGTGTGGCCTCTTTTAGGTTTACAGCTTTAGGAAAGCTTCTTCACTTCTCTGAACCTTGATTTTCCCATATATTAAATGGGAATAATGATCCGTACTCCACGAGAGATGCTTACAAGGTTAAGCGAAATAGTATCTATACATGCTTAGTAGGTAATCCGCAAACGGCAGCCTCATTATCAGCATTGTTATTCTCAGCCTGCTGCTCCGTTTGTAAGGCAGAGGACTGAGGCCATTAGCCTTGAATGATGCCCATTTCCAAAGAGCTCTGATGAGCCTACAGACACACATTAATTGCGGCCCTCCCACCCGTGTGCCTTCCAGCTGGAAGGAGCAGAAGCCGCCGTCTGGTCTCTCCGTGGCCAGGCAGGGAGCTCACTCACCAGGGGAGGCTCGGCCACCTTCTCTGGGCTATCCCGGCAGCACCCGTGCCTCTGGCTTTTGTCGAGCAGCTGGAGTGTGAGCCGCACTGTCTGCCCGTGAAATGCGACTTTCAGAAAACATGCATATTTGTGAGTTGGTGCATGTTTCTATTTCGGGCCGACACTGCCCTCTTTATTTATTTTCCCTGGGCTTTGCATTTGGAACCCAGCTTGGAAGGGTGTTTTGACAGACTTTGACACCGCTGTGGCTCCTCTGGCAGGAGACATGCTCTGGTGGGGAAGGAGGATTTAAAACGACAATCTTTCTCTCAGCTAGGGTCCATTGACAATCAGACACTCCTGCCTCCTGGCCCAGCCCTGGGTTTCCACATATTTGGGTGGGGGGGCGGAGTAGAAGAGATACAGGTGGGGAAACAATTTCAAAGAGGGGGAAGAAGCCCAAAGAGACTAATCATCGAGCTTCCAAAATCATAATAACACGGCCGTCATTATCAACACCAGTAATGTTACTATCAACTGCTGTCACCACCACCACCACCATTTTTGGGTTCCTATTTTTATGACTGACAGTGGGCTGGAAGACTGCCCTTAGGGAAACCACCTCATCTTTCAGCATCTCACTGTGCTCATCTGTAAAGGTGATTTTGCAGTACTCAGCTCATGGGGCTGTAAGAAGTGGCCGCTCAGTCAAATGGCAGCAGTGACTGTCTTGCCTCCTGGTCTCAGATCTTGGCCAGCTGCCCACGGACAGCCGACTTGGTCAAGTCTTAGGGATTTGGGGCTGATTGCCAAGACCCTACCAACCAGGCAGCCTTCTAAAGCTGCTCTCAGCTAGTCCCCTCTCTGTGGTCATTTACAAGCAGCCCAGAATTGACCTTAACTCAAGGAGGAAGGACCTTCGCTCAGACAACTCCATCTGCCTTTGGATGACCAGGTGAGTGGAAGGGGTGATGAAGAGACCAGAGAGTTGTTTAAATGCTTAAACTGTCAGACAAAAGAGCCTAAACCATGATTCCAAGGCTCTGAGGGGCAGGAGGTCCAGGCTTAAGTTCCTCCGTTTCTACTCATTCATTCATTCATTCATCCACTAAGCATCGGCCAGCAGAATCAGTGGTTCACGTAGAAGACATACTGACAGGGGAATCAATGTCTGCCCCAATGGCGATTGCACTTCAGCAATGTGACCTCAAGAAAATTACTTGACATCTCTGGCCCTATAAAGGAAATCATCTTAACATCCACTGCTCAGGAGACAGAAAGAATTCACCAGTGGTGGGTGCTTTGGGCAGGGGGGAAGGTACCATAACCCCTGAGGTTAGAACCATGGTTTCAATCCCACCCGCACTCAAGAGTGAGTCGATGTTCCACATCACTAGGACCAAACAGGGACTCTTGAGGGTCCCTTCAGCCAGCCCTGCACCGATGGGAAGCCTGAGGCTCAGGGAAGGGAAGTAACTTGCCCAAGAACACACTGGGAGACTGTGGCCAAGCTGAGACTAGAACCCAGGTCTCCCCACTTCCACTCCAGTGGTTCTTCTACCACATCACACTGGGATGCTTCCTCTTCCAACAGAGTTTCTGGAGTTTAAGGGCAATAGCAGAAGAGGTATCAAAGGGCAAGCCAGAGCATGGGTACTGGATGCCTCAAAATCCCCATGGAGTGAGGGTTTGCTGTGATTCCACAACAGAGGAATCCCAGCCTGTTGGAGAGACTGCGGAGGCTCTGGGGCATCCAGTCCTAGAAACATCCCCAGGGAGGGGCTGGAAGCGGCTGAGGCCATGGGCAGGGAGAGGGGTGCTGTCAGCCTTTCAAAGGGAGGGGAGTGGAGGCATGGAGTCTGCCCAGAGAATGGAGTCAGCTCCTCCTAAGGGTCATCTGTGTCCATATGGGAGCAAAGAGTGACTGGATCAGACCCAGGCTGAAGGAAAGTTGGGGAGAGAGTGAAGGAAAAGGGGGGGGGGGAGACACATGGGAGAGGAGAACAGAGCAGGGAAACAAAGAGAAAGTGCAAGCAAAAAATGATGCAGAAAGAGGGGTGTGTACTCTGGTTGTAGGAGATTTGTCTGGAGTACATTTGAGGGAGGGGAGCAGGCATGGGGGCGGTGAGCAAAGCAAAATGGATTCTGAGGCTAAAACCAAGATTCTGTTAAGGCCAGGCTTCTGCCCAGATTCCACTGGGCCACAGCCTCTTCCTTCCATTTGGCAGATACCGGGTTTTCTGCTCAGGTCTGCATTGGTGGGGGGGGGGGGGCGGGGGGGAAAGAGGGGGGAGCTGCTCCTCTACCCCACCCCCCACCCCACCCGGAAGTGTGTGTGTGCACGGGGAGCCCAAGCAGCTCTGTGAATCGCTGGGCACCCCTGTGAGCACCCAGGGGTTGAGCTCCGGAGTCTGGGGCTTAGTAAGATGTTGGGGAACAGCAGGATCCGGAGTGAAGATGCCCGCCTGGATGCTCGTGCTTGTGGGGAGACCTGAGTGTGTCCACGTGCGAGTGGATCTTCCCTCTGTGTGTGGGCTGTGAATGGATGTATGTTTGCGTGAGTGGACTATGAATCTGTGTGGGGATTGTTTGTGGTCTGTAGATTTGCGTGGGTGTGCGCATGGACTGTGGGTCCGTGAGCTTGAGCGGGGGTTGTGGGTCTCGGAGGCCGCCTCGCGGCGCTGTCCGCGGTGCTGACCCGGGGCTTGGATGGGAGGGGACCTGCGCCCAGCCTCAGGGGGACCGCGGGAATCTGGCGCCGGCTGTGTAGCAGACAGGAGCCGAGGAAAGGAAGCCTCCAAGTCTTTCTTGGAGGCGCCTTCTTAGTCCACCTGCGGGTCCCCCCCCCCCACCCCCGGGGGAGTTGGGAAAAGTTCTGCCAGCGGCGGGGTTGGCTCGGGGGACTCCGCGCCAATCGCACCAGGAATCTTACCCCAACCCTCCGCGCCGCTACGGCCCCGCTGCCCACCGCACCTCCACCTTCACTCGCGTTCTCGGCAGGGCACGGGGCTCCCCTATCGCGCTCGGCTTCCACCGCCTGCCCGGTCTGCCCCAGAGCTCCCGCGCGCCCGGCTGGACCTGCAGCCAGGTTCATTGCTTTCCAGGACTCGGGAAACGTCTGGGTGAAAGCATGAGTGCGCTAAGGTAGGGAGTGGATGGAGAGGAGGCCAGTCACCTTTTATCCCTCCCACTCTAGCCAGGCCGAGAGCCGGATCCGGGGCGGCTTCAGACTGACTCAACTTTTACGGAATCAGTCATCCACCCGCGAGGACGAGCAGGGGGCCGGAGAGTGAAGCCTCCCGGGAGATCGGAAGCCTCGCCCGTTATGGACCTCAAACTGGCCCGTGCAGAACGAAGCTGCTCCGGCCCCGTGAGGAGTTGGTGCGGAGCTGGAGCCCGGCCACGGGGGGCCAGCTCCGGGCTCTGCCCACTACCGGCTGGCTTTCCCGGCGGGGGCGGGGCGCCAAGGCCTGCACCCAGGGCTGGTTGGAGAGCGAGAGAACTTCACACACAGCCCCGCGAAGGCCGGGGTGGGAGCGGCGCGGAGGGCTTGTCCCTTCCTCCGAGCGATGCATCCCCCCAGCCCCGACCCGGATGGCGCCCAGGGGCAGTCGCACTCACCTCGGCTGGCCAAGCTGGGCTGGCTGAGCCGCGGGCGCGGGAAGGAGGCGCACCGGAGGGGCCGGGGGCTGCGGCCACCCCGCCGTGAGGACTTGTCCCCTCGCGGAAGTCGCAGGGAGATGCTCTTCGTAGCTGCAGGAGGCCCGAGTTCCCCGCTCCGCTCCAGAGAGCGCAGACCGCGCACAGCCTAGCGCTGAGACTGGTCCCCGGCGCGCAACCCGAGCGCTCGGCGCCGCCGCCGCCTTTTATTCGCCGCCCGCCTTTGTTTGGGTCCCGGCTCCTACCACGGGGTATGGGGGTGTCGGGCGCAGGCTCTAGAGCCGCGCCGCCTCCTAGCCACTGGCGCCTCAGGCCTCCACGCCGCCTGGCTCTGCGTCAGTGGCCGGCAAGGGCCTGCGCTCCGCCGCGCACTGCTGTCCCTGGAGCCCGCCGCCAGGCGCCGCCGTGGCCGCCGTTCCCCCTGCGGGAGCCGCGCGGTGGTACAAGCGGGCTCCCATTGCCAGCGGGCGGGGCTGCGGGTGGCGCAGCGACCCCTGGGGGTGGGTCCACGCCTCTGCAAACGGCCCAGGCTCTGCCTCCTGCCCCGCCCCCAAGTTTCGTAGGTTCCCAGGTCTCTTCCCCCCGTCTTCGCTCCTCTCCCAGTCCTCGCAGCTTTGGCAGATCACCAGCCGCCTGGACACTCTAGGGCGTCCCCGGGTCTCCTCCGGAGGGAGCTGCCAAACTCGGGCTCCTGGCGCCGTCCCTTCTTCCCTCCTTCTCCATTCACCTCTCTGGCACCAGAGCCCAGAGCCACGCCAGCCCCTGAGACCCGGCATCCCTCCAGCTCTAGCACATGGTCTGCCTGACACCCCTGCCCGAAAGGCCACAAGGAGAAGGGGCTGGGGAACAGAGACCGGTGCCTGACCCCTTTCTCTTCATCGGGGCTCTGAGGGCATTGGCACTGCTGTCACCAGGGGAGAGCGGAGGCGGATGCCTCAAAAGCCAGGGAGCTGTAGGACCCCAGATGCAGGATGGAGAGGTTTTACTTACAAAAACCAGAAAGAAGGGAGGCCACTGCCACTGTTGTGTGAGGGGTGAGCCGGGAGTTTATCGTGCATCCTCAGACTGTGTGCTGGGAGGATCAGGGAAGACAGAGATGGGGAATCAGAACCTCCTCCTGCAGCAAGCTCCCAGCTTAGAGGAGAGATGAGAATACCAGAGAGTTCCAAAATGAAACACCAAGCCCCGCACCCACAGCAGGTATTCAACCCAGTTTCTCCAGCCCTTCTCTTTAAAAGAGGAAAGCTGAGTTGAGGGCATGTCTAACTTTAAGGCGCTGAGTGGCACCCTGTCACTCACCTGCCGTTCCTGCTCTGTCTCTCTGGTGTGCAGTCCCAGGGAACTGTACCACTGGCTCACTGCCAACTGGACACATTGGTATTTATGACCCTAGATGCCTCGAGAGCTCATCTATGCAGAAGCAAATGGCCCGAGCCAGTGTCCCTGCCCCGGCACTCATTCCCCATGTGCTCAGGGTCCTCAAGGGAACCATTGCCAGACTGGCCAAGCCTGTTAGAAGACTCCCAGTGGCTTCATCTGGCCTTGAAGACTTTGGGTTGGAGACAGCTCCTGACTCGAAGCGTGCCACCCTGAGCTATAAGGGAAGAGAGAGACAGAAACAGGAGGCATCTTCTGAGAAGTGGGGAGTGCGTATGTTGCTACCCCAAGATCAGAGGCCAGATCTGACATAGGAGCACAAAAGAGCAGACCCAGGACCCCCCTCCACCCCCACACACACTTCCGGTCTCTCTTGCCACATCCCAGAGAGAAGCCAGAAATGTGGAGCCATGGGAGAGGGCGGGAGGAAGGAGAACGGGGCAAAGATTGGTTTTTAAGGGAGCAACAGGGGAGACACGAAATGTGTTCCCAAGCCCAGCTGAGAGCAAAGGGTTTTCTTTGCTGGGGGAATGGCTTACTCTTCTCGTTTGGTTGGATGGCTGCTTCGAGGAGCCTTCTCAAAGTTCTCTGAGGCTCCTGCACTGTTCCTCTCAGTCTGACAGATCCACAAGGAATGCCATTGTGTGCCCCATGGTGTGAGCCACCCTCAGCCCATCCTGGGGACACAGTCCCTTCTCCCCTGGGGAAGATTTTTAATGGTTTGGGGCCCCAATTTCATGCAGCCTAGCTAGCCACAGCTGTGGCCACCTTGGCCACACTCTCCCCCACACCCTCCCTGCCTCTGGGGGCCTCCAGATGATCTCTAGTGGGGGGTGGGCTTGCTCTGCCCTTGGCCAGAGATTTCTGGGTACCGAGGATGCAGAGGAGGAGGCCAATGGAGTGGGGGAGGAGGGAGGGAGGAGTGTGGTACCCAGGAACACTGAAAGGAGGCAATTTTCCCAGGCCATCAGCAGAGTTTTAAAAATGCAAATGGAACCGGGCCTTTGAAATATGCCTGCCATAAAGTGGGGCTGGTAGTGGCAGCGGGAGCTGGCGCGGGTGTGGAAAGTCATGAGAAGCCTCCTCGCGGGGCCTCATCCTCAGACTTCCTTCCCCTCACCCACTCCCCACTCTGCCTGCAGGATGCCTGTTTAGGGGGCGACTGGGACGCTGGAGTCGGAGATCCCCCCCCCCCAAACTCAGGGTACCTCCCTGAGGCTTCCTTTACCTCAATGATCTGCCCAACAGAAAGGCTGCAGAGAATGAGATTCTACACCCACCCCCCAGCCCCCCACGCCAGTGCTGTCTGCTGGAAGTTCTTCCTGAGTCTGATTTAAATGCCTCTTGGTGCCGATAAGCGGCTTCCCTTATACTCTATCTTCACGACTAATTGAAAAGCTTCTTTTGTAAGGGGCTTGAGCTATAAAGGGCTGCTTTGTCCTTCGTTCCCGACCCTTTATTTCTATTTTCATTTTCTCTCCAACGATGTCTGAAGGAGTCAGCCTCTGACTCCACCACTCGCGAGAAAGCTGTATTTCTGTTCCACCCCTTACCAGCTGCGTGACCTTGGGCAAGTCCCTTCACCTTGCTGAACTCAGTTATTTCGTCTATAAGATGGGGATGGTAAAGTACTTACCTCATAGTGGTGGTTATAAAAAGTTTATTAGATGAGTAAATCTCAGTGTACAAATAGCATTCAGCACAGTGCATGGCACAAACCAAGCTCTAAATAAATATTAGGTGGTGGTGATGATGATGATAGGTTCCTGTTGAGCTAGAGGTCACCAGGAGGTGACCATAACACTTCTCACTTCTTTGCCCCACCCCTGATGAGGCGGATTGTGTACAAACCATGTCCTCTCACCAGATGGTTGAGCAGCTGAGGGGAAGAGTAAATGGGAGGGCTGGAGGTGTTTATCCTGAAAAGTATAGTAGATTAAGACTGCTGCTCCATTGTTCCAGCATCAGGGAATTGAATGACTACATTTAAAAGTAATTCTCTCTTCCATCCGCTCACACTCTGATTTTGGAGCTCTTGGCCCCAACCTCCTGTCTCACCTTCTCCAGGAAATCAATGATGAGAGGCAAGTGAACTAGGGTGTGTTAGAAAGAGCTCTAGATATTGGGGTCTTTTACTAATTGTATGACCTTGGGTAAGTCACTTCACTTCTCTGAGACGCAGTTTCCTCAACTGCAAAATGGGAGTATAATGACCTGTGCCTGTAATATGCCTGCAAGTATCTTTTCAGCTGAGGTGGAACACAGATTTATAGGCAACAATCTGATAATTAGTCATATATATAGTTACATGTTGTTATGGTTATATACAGTTAGAGACAGATAGAAAGATCAATCCCTCTTTCCATGACTTTCAGGGTTGACTGCACTTCGTTTGATATAATGGCTGCAAAAGAGCTCAGGAAACTTGCTCCAGTTCATGGTGGATGAATTTCTGACTCAAGGTCATATAGCAAGTTAGTGGGAGAGTTGGGTTGGACCCGGGCCTCCCTGGGTTCAGTCCTGAGCTTCTCCCAAGGCATGATCTTTCTTCTCCCCAGCCTCCTTCTGCCTGGAGCTCTGTTCAGGAGATGGCTGTGAGTTTGTGGGGGGGCACAGGATAGAGGGGCCAATAATTCAAGAGAAGAGAGAAAAGTCTGGGGATGGGGGTGCTACAAGACAGGGCCTGGGGGAGGCTGGACAGATGGCAGCCCTCTCCTCCTGCCTCCAGAATTCTGAAAGCAGCCAGACCACTTCTTTTGCAGCCCTGCCTGCCTCCTCCAAGGAAGCAGGCAGCCTGCACCAGAGTGAACACAATCCAAGTTATTAATTGCCTGCAACAATTAGCCCCAGTGCTTGGGCCTGCGGACACCTAGGCTCTGAAAAAAAAAAAAAAAGCCAACTACAGCTTCATCAATATTCACTCTGCTGCATAATCCTCCCCCAACTCTACAGGCCCACCCTAACCCCCATCCATGTTTCTAGGGGGCCTTTGCTCTGACCCCAGCATCTGGAGAAAACCACGTTTTCCTGAGGTTTTCAAGAGTGGAAGTCACTGAAGGGTTAGACCCTAAGGGGGCATTACACATAGCAGGGCAGGGAAGAGAAAGACCGTGCCAAAGGTCTGGACAGTGTGGCATTAGCCAAATACTGTCCCACTGTGTGGGAGGAAGTACAGCCTCCAGGTTGAAGGTTTGAAGTAGGTTCGCTGAGTAGTGGCAAGGGAGAGATCAGAAATACACCCCAGTCCAGTCACGTACTAGCTTCGTGGCTTTGGGGAAATCCCTTCATGTCTCTGAGCTCATTTCCTTATCTGCAAACTGGGGACGGTGGTCACACCTCTCCATGAAGGGAAATGCTGTGCAGAAGTGCATAGCCCTACAGTGGGTGGCACGGACTGAGCTGGAAATAAATAGGAGCTATTTTGTTCTATATGGACAGAGCCCTGGCAGGACATTCTGTGCTGCCTGTGGGTCCCCTTTCCCTTGGCAGGAAAGTGGAAGTGGGAGGCAACAGGGAGTGAGGTAGATGGGGAGTTGGGAGACCTGGATGCTGACCCCAGGTTTGCTCAAACTTACACTGTGGTCCTGGTGCCCTCCCCACTCTGGCCTCTTGTTCTGACTTGACAAATGAGGGCACAAAGCTGGATGAGAGCCCCTCTAACTAATTTTTTTAGGAGGGTGTGAACAGAAGGAATGAGCTTACAATGGTAGGAGGCCATGGGGAATATAGAACCCCCAATTTTTCAGGGGTGAAAGGCAGCAGTGATAAATGTAACGGACCCGCCAAAAGAACATGAAACCGGTTACATAAATAAAGAGTTAAGCCTAGAGTCACCAATCTGTCGGTTCTGCATCTGTTAAAGAAACCACTTACCTTTCATCAAGACAGGGAATAAAGATCATCACCTGGTTCAGAACCACTTGGGAGAGGCTGAGTAGAAGTTCCCAGCACAATCCTGATTGGGCGGGTATTTCAGGACCAT